CCGGAACTATTAACGCTGAACATATATGGTTGGATAAACAAATTTAGTTATAATCATAATACGATGAAACATACGGGGTGTTACATTAAAAAAAATTACGTACTTGCCTAAATGCAACACCCTGTATAAATGAAAATAATTTTACGTTATGAAAGTGATGAGTCGAACAAGTTTTGCATAAAACTTTTTTTCTTCTACCTCAAACGATTTAATAGCTATCGATCGCCGGTATACCAATAACTCACCTTGTATATTGTTGAAAATTTAATTGTAATGTTTATACATACAATGTTTTAAAAATTCTCAAGTAAAACAAAAAATACCTGGTATAGACGTTGAATTCACAGTTTTCTTCGGTGGCTCAGATGTAAATTGCAAGAAATGTTGAGGAGCTGAAATTGTTGACAATTCTCAAGTTTTGTTAAGTAAAATTATATATTTTATATACAGATGTTTCTAAATTGACGCGAAAGATTATAAGGGATTATTTGTCAGCGAAAATTAAGGGGTGTCTTTCATATAGCTTTTTGTTCAAAACCCCTTCCCCACCGAATTACAGCCCTCTAAAGTTAGGGGGAAAACTTGTTTTTACATTTAATAAATCCACTATGGAGGAATTTAGAATTTTTTTTAAACCATCTGAGATTGAAGTTGGAGTTGTTAGTAAGGATAATCCGAAATTTACAAAACTGTGTGAAATTGATAAACACCTTGTTGCTATTGCGGAAAAGGATTAATATTAAATAGGTTAATTTTGATTGATTTTTGTATTTTTTTTTCTGTATGGGTTAATGAATCAATAAATTAATAAAAGAAGAATGAAATTTGGCAGATAATTGTTGGTAATAAAATGATACCATCCTTTTGACGATTTTGTAACCCTAAAATGTTATTACAAGGGGGTGAAACTTTTCAGTGCGTCTACATTGTTCTATTTAAAAACTTGATTTAAATAGTGGGATTCAATACGCAACTTTTTTGTCTCTTAACATTTTTTCCTAAAATTGTTAATTAGATCACAAAAATATTTCTCAAATTTCTAGAGTGTTTTATACGTATGGACTGAAAACATTCTGTAGAACTAAATAAGATTTTATTGAAAGAATGGCGACAATGGCGTTTTCTATTTAGTTGAAGAATAGTACTTACTTATTGTAAATTAGGAAAGATCACAATAACAAATTGAACAATAATGTGGGGTTGAAAAATCCACCCTTATAATAGTTTGCAGTAGAAGTTTTGAATGTGTCTACAATCTTTTATTTAAAAACTTGATTTAAAAAGATGGATTCAATTTCCAACATTATTGTCTTTTAACATTTTCTCATAAAATTGTTAGTTTAAACACACAAAAAAATAATACACATATGGCATACATTCAGCCTAATTATTAAAATTTCTAGAGTTTTATACAAATGGACTGAAAACATTGTGGACAACTGAATGAAGTTTTATTGAAAGAATGGCATTTACTATTTAGTTGAAAAAATATGTAAATTAAGAAATATCACAATAATAATTGTAGTAATAACAATTAACAAAACTACAAAAACAAACAATAACAACGTTAACAAAATATCAATAATAAGTCATAATAAATGTTGAAAATGCCGCCCGTCAGCAGCAACGCACGATTCCACCCTTCACCTCACGGAATGGGGTCATACACGATTTTTTTTTAATTATATTTTCTAAAAGTTTATATAAAAATATAGTTACCGTTATTTTTTTTTTTTAATATTTTCGAACAGTCATTGTTAAAAAAATTATTGAAAATTTATATACCCATTTGCGCTTTTAAAATTCCCGCGTTGATGACGTACGATTCTCACTTTTACGTCCCCTTCTCCCCGCTCAAATGCGAGAAAGAGATGAACGTCATTTAGGTTGTATTGAAAAGAGATAGAGTGTTTGTAGGTTATGTTTATTATGTTTTGTTCGTGGATGTAATAGAGACACTCTATTACATCCATGGTTTTATTTTGACACTGTCACACCCATATATATACTATCTCCTATATCGCTGACTAAGGCAGCAAAAGAGTGTAAACACTAGAGTGCAGATATATATATATATCTGTCTCTGTCGTGCCCCCGTCTACACAAGAGACATGCGTGAACACGTGGTGAGTACGCTTTTATCTTATTGGACGGTGAATTAAAAATTAATAGCAGCTGATGACCTTGATGTTTATAAAACACCAAATAAATGTTTGACATAAACATAACCTAAAATCTAATACAATAATGGCTTCTTGTTTTATTTCTAACATTTGAAATCGACAAAATTGTCATGGTTACATAAAATTTGGTTTGTTATTTGGGTTGCCTAAACAAAAGTAAAGAATATAATGTTTAATGAACAACCTACATAAAGTTGATATTTAAAGCAATATTCAACGTCAATTTCACACAAAAGTACATATATTCTAATTTATTTGATGCATCTACGATAATTTATAATTAAAGTCAACTATCTACAATAATTGCATTTCAAAGCTGCATAAAATACGCGCGAAACACTTCAAACTCTTAAAAATTTACGATTCGCGCAAGCGCCTTCGCGATATGGGGGCACGACAAAGACAAAACATATATCATTCCGTCTGCTTTTGATGGAAACGCTCGCCACTCATTGCTTAGATAGGGAGTCAGCGATATAGGAGATAGTATATATATGGTCACACCGCAAGCGCTATCTAACGGACAATTTAACTTGTTTTAGGTAGTGCGGTTCCTACGTCACAGAAAAGCCGCGAAATTATTTCGTTTGAATATTTGCTATTTTTCACTTCAAATTACGCAAAATATAAAATTGATCAAAATATTTCTTTTACTTTGTGTTCATGCATATACTTGCATATATCGTTTGACATAAAAATTTTCTCTAAATTTAATAAGTGTGTATGACCCCATTTCGTATTCTTTCAAATAATCCTGGTGTATTCCTAATAGTTAGACATGATGCGATGATACGATTCCGTAAATCATTGATATATATTATATATTTAAGAAAACCAAAATACAAAAATCTAATCCAACGATTTGTATAAACTTCGTCTAAGTAACGGCGAGCGTTAATACTAAAATGCGCTGACACATCATGCATGAACCATAATTCTCATCTCCTCTTCGAGGAAATGACAGTATGCGTCTCCATTTAATCTCGTTGGAAAAAAATTTGGTCCAATTAAATCATTGTCAATAACACCCACCACACATTTAATGAAAATTGGTGTTGAAACTTGCATTCAACAATTTTATGTAGATTTTCTTCAGACCATATGAAAGGAAATTTCTAATGGATTCTTTTGATAAGAACTGCTGTGTTTGTGTAACCATTTGAAGAAACCATTGGTACAAAATTCCCGCGGGAAGAACGCTTGAACTCGTTGTAAATGATAAGGATACAATAGTTGTTCTTTTAAAATCCTAAATACGCTGGAATAGCTTACATTTAATTCTTGAGCAATTTTTCTTGTACTAGTTCCGGGAGAGTCCTCAATTAAATCAAGAACTTCTTCCTCTAGTGCTACAGTTCGTACTTCTCATGAACGTGCGCAATCGGCAGTTCTTCTGGAAAAATGTCCATCTTCTCCGTCTTCTAGAAGACGTTCCAGATATACCCATTTCCATTCGCACGACCATATACAAAATGCATGTCTGCCATTTCGGTATTTGTGTAGTTTGCCATTGCATTTACTTAAGTAATAATTGTTTTTAGTTCGCAAGAGATAGAAAAATAATACGGACAAAACCACAACAATGAAAATATGGGAAAAAGTCAAGAATCCATTCATGAAATATCCTTGTTTTTCTTAGGCTGTCGATGCATAACGACTGACTACCTGTCGTTAGATAGACTGTGTATTAATAGACTGTGAGTCATTAGACTCTGTGTTAATACTAGAACAAACATTAGACCGAAAACTAGAAACATTCGGATTTAGCCGCACGTCTCTAAAGACGGCTAAACCCGAATGATTCTAGTTCTAGGTCTTGATTCTAGTGATAGTGCTAGTGCAATACTAGAAATAACACTAGACCGCGAACTAGAAACATTCGGATCATCTCTCAAGATGGCTAAACCCGAAGTACCAGAATGTTTCTGGTTCTAGATCTAGTGTTAGTTCTACTTTTCAATGAAAATGTACCACTATCTGACACTAAATAACATTTAAAACTGGAACTAACACTAGACCTAGAAATGTGCTGCGAAACTATATGGTTAGAACGATCGATGACGTCACGTCCAAACTGGTGAAATAAAAAGTGATGTTTTACACTTTTCCGCACTTTTTTTTTATTTGTAACGGCTTACTTGAGCGATTTCCCATCGATTAAAAAAAAATTGTGAAGCCAATATGAAAGGTAAGAATAACGGACTAGAAAAACATATTTCAAATATAAATCCGAGAGCGTTATTTGTTCCTTGCTCCTGTCACTCTATTAATCTTGTTTTAAATGATGCTACAGAATCAAATATAAAAATGATCAATTTTTTTGAAATAATACAAAGCTTGTATTATTTTTTTTCTGCATCCACTTATAGATGATCTATTCTTGTCAAATATCTGACCAATTTAACATTAAAACCTGTATGTTCTACGAGATGGGAAAGTAGGATAAATGCGATAAGGCCCGTTAGATTGTTGTCCCGTCGCTTTTTGGTATTGTATAAGACACGTCTTTGCTGGGGTTTCATGGAAATAACACTAAAGTAGAAGCAAGCATTATACAAGAAGAGAGAATATATATAGAGAATATGTGTTGTAAATTTTCCATTATTCATCGAGATTATACAGGGTGATTCACATAAGAACCGACACAGAGCAGGGACATGTAGAGGACAATAAATTAAGATGATTTAACGTAACTTACCTCTATACTAAGTTGTACACCTGAGGAGTTATAGGCCTTCAAAGTTGGCTCTTAAATTTTTAAAAAGTTCAATATCTTCGTAATACATTAAGCTAGAANTGATTTCTCGTAACTTATCTCTATACTAAGTTGTACACCTGAGGAGTTATAGGCCTTCAAAGTTGGCTCTTAAATTTTTAAAAAGTTCAATATCTTCGTAATACATTAAGCTAGAAAAACCAAATTTGGTATGCGTTATGAGTGTACCAAGGGTATTAATTGGTAGCAAATTGAACTCAATTGAAGCATTTCAAAGGGTTGATTAAAGGTGATGGTACCCTAAATTTTGACAGATTTTTTTAATCTTTTGACAGATTTAATATATAAATAATATATATAATATAAATTAATACTTCATTTCATTTCATTCAGGCATTCCATTTAAAAAAAATGAGATATAGCTATTTCAAGTTTCTGGTATTGAGTACAATATTACGAACACCCTGTAGAAGGTTACCAGATTTTTATACGGGCATGAAGTTACTGTAACTATGCATTAATAATCTACAAAAGATTTGCTTTGTAGGGTCTTAAATAAATTAGGTATGTTTTCTTTTATAGACACGTGTAGACGGAGATTTTTTCATAAAATGTTGAATATTTCAAAAACTATAAAATTTTGGTATAGGTAATGCTTAACAAAAAGTATGTCGAATTTTAAAGGTAATTCAAAAATGTAATAAAATATGGGGTGTTCCATTTAAATTTACGAAGTTGTACCTTGTACTTTGTTTTTGCAACACTCTGTATAAACAAAAATATTTTTAGGTTGTGCACCTTCGAGCACCAAACAACTTTATATATAAACATTTTCTTCTAGCGACACCCTGTAAGGAGATATCATCCGATATCGCACTAATTGGAAACCCGGTATAGAGAAGTTAAATTATCAGGCCATATGTATGACAATAATTTGGTATAAATAGCAATGTATGCAATGTACTTTTAGATGTTAACAGAGTAAATCTTCTACTACAAAGCCTAAAGTGTACGGTTTGTGCAGCAGTTGAACAGCTTGCAAATAATCTAAAAAAACTAAGAAGTGACGAAGAGTATCAAAATTTGTTAGTTATAGCGTCTGAACTTCAAATTCTGCAAATTCAATAAACATACAACCAAACTTTACAGAAATCAGAACGCATTTTCAATAATGAAACTTTTGACAACCCAATACAAGATCCGTCACAAAAATTTAAAGTTGATGTATATGTTAATTTACTTAAAATAGCGATTCATTCAATAGAGGAGCGTTTTCAACATACATTCGGATTTTTGCACAATCTTGCCGACCTAAGAAATTGGGAAAAAGAGGACGTCATAAAGCGAAGTATGAATTTGGAGATTACTCTTACCCATAACTGTTATAGATTTATAGAATTTAATTTGATTTGTTTTGCGTCTTAGCGTTCTGAGTTTGTGTGTTGTGTATACGGTTTATATAAAAGATGTAAATTTGGAAAACCAGTTTCAGTTCCAAATAAATTATTAAGTTGAACACATCTTTGTACTTTTATTGAGTAAAGACGTAGCAATAACAATAGAAAATACATCGACGGCATTCAGCTGGCGGAAGAGTTGAATATTATTTCAAAACTTTTAAACCCAGGTGATACACCTTATGAAGTTTTGAAATATATTTTAAACAACAATTTAATTGTTATGTATCCAAATCTTTATATCGCTTTGAAAATCCAAAAAGGATTTTAATAAATTTTTAACAAATTTATAATTGTTAGTTTGCAATTTATTCAATAAATAAATAAAAATAAATCAAAGTGCATTTTTGAAGGGATACTTTTTTAAAATTTTTATTTAGGCAAGGGCGGCCAAATCCATTTTCGCCTGTAGCGGCCAAATCTCTCACAATGAGTATTATTTTATTTTATATGGTAAACTAACGATTTTGGGAGAAAATGTTAAGAGACAAAATATTGCGTATTGAATCCCACTATTTAAATCAAATTTTTAAATAGAAATATGTAGACGCATTAATAAGTTCTGATGCAAAGTATTATAAGGGTTGATTGTTTCATGCCCTTGTAATAACATTTTAGGATTATAAAAATCGTGTCATTTTATTAGTAATAGTTATCTGCCAAATTTCATCTTCTAAATTCCTCCATAATGAATTTATTAAATAAAAACAATTTTCCCCCTAACTTTAGAGGGCTGTAATTCGGTAGGGAAGGGGTTTTGAACAAAAAATTATATGAAAGACCCCCTTAATTTTTGCTGAGAAATCATCCCTTGAAATCTTTCACATCAATTTAGAAACATGCAGTATATACAGGGTGTATCTGAATGACTGCAACAAACTTCATGGGGTGATTCTTCACTTAATTTTAAGGGTACTTTAATATATGGGTAGGTTGAAAGTACAAATAGGGTCAAAACGTGCCCTATTATGAGTTAAACAAATTCCCCAAATTTCATTTTCCTAGCGTTCATGGTTTTTGAGAAAAGAAAATTAAAACAAAATGTTCCGCCTTTTTGGAGAGGTGTAACTCCTTAGGGTTCATATATCAAAGTACCCTTAAAATTCACTAAAGAATCACCCCTTAAAGTTTGTTGCAGTCATTCAGATACACCTGTGGAATATTAAAAAGGAAGGGATGGCATTCTGAACACCAAAATACATAATACACAATATCATATATATGATGCCATCTATTTCCTTTTTTCAACAAGTTTTAGTTTTGAATTTAAAATTTTTAGTACTTACCTGGTAAACATGATGGTAAAACAAACGTTTCCCGTTTTGGTAAAAAATGCACAAATTCCTTAGGAACTGCAATATTTTGTATGTATTACACTATTCATTAAATGACTAATACTTACTAAGTAAATATGATTTTAGACCTTGAGTTACTTTAGATGTTTCTGGTTGGCATTTTTTGATTGGCTCAGAATCTAAAATTAATCTAATTTATTTAATAATTAATTGTTAATTAGTGTTTAATACCTTGATTTGCTGTCAAATCTATAGTTTCTACTGGTTTATTTGATGCAGTTAGTACAGATTTTAATATAGAAGGCTTAGGTTTTGAAGTTATACTTGATTTTGATATAGTGGGTCCAGAATTTGTCACAACAGATTTTGGTGTGGTGGGTCCAGATTCTGAAATATTTTTCATTCCTATTTCATTAATTATAAATTTTATTTGATATAAAACCTGCTAAATTTGATATTAGTTTATCTAACTTTTCTTGGACTTGAGTGTTTAATATTTTATGATAAGTGTGGTCGGAAGTTGTAGCAACTTGAGTGGTATCATCTAAAAACAGAATAGACAAATATTGTTCACACTATAAGTTAACATTAAATTCAAAAACAACCTGATGATAGTTTAAGGTGTTTGGCAGAATCTTCTGGAGATGGGGAATGTGATCTTTTACAGTAATAAGTTTTAGCATTATCAAATTCTGTTGGAGTTGCGGTTGGTAATAGTCGATTTTTTTCTGGACTTGTATACATGCATTTTTTAAAATGTAAAGCACAAATCTTATAATTCTTATACAGATCTATTGATGATTTTTCTTTTAAATCCATTCGATTTGAAGCTTGTAACCAAGCCATTGCTCTGAAAAAGATTAAAAATGTTTTAGTTTTAAAATCAAGCATTGTTTTAACTTATAATTAATGTTAATTGATAATTTTAAACAATTTAAAAACAAATATGTAGATAAATATTTATTTTATAATCAATGCAAAAGTTTAATCTATTACTCCTGTATCTTTATTCTTTAGTGATTTAATCTAATATTTAGATTGTAATTCTTTAGATTTTAATATCATTCTTTTTAAATCTTATTTAAATCGTTTCGTGAACTCATATTGCGCCTGTACCTTGAACGTTCTTTGGGTAGACGAAAGAAACGAATATTTTTGTCAACTGATCTGGATTTACAACTTCGAACAACGCAGCTATGTCCTCCTTTGGGGGGATTCATCATGGCAAAATGTTTGTTCCTGTTTTTAAATCAAACCAACAGATCTAATTGCAAATATAATCACAGAATACACACAATGTAAAAAGTGAGGTTAACACGAATACAAACGAAAAGATGGTGGGATCACGCTTGCGTAGTAATTCTAAATCTGTATCCATTTTGGCGGTAATAAGATATTTAGTGTGTTGTAAGCTAGTTAATTATTTATATCTTAAAGAATTCCCCGATTTCAAAGTAATTATTGTTTATAGGACCATAATGGAAATTTAGGAATTAAGGTTAATTAAGAAATAGGCTCCAGCAAGTATATTTTGTTGCCTAACCATACAAAATAAAATTTAAAAGTCTATCATGTTTTTATGAGCTCGTATTTTTACTATCTTGTATAGGTATAGGTAAGGTGCACAAGGTGATGATAAGCCACCAAAGTAACATTTTAAGCAAAGCAGCAGAAGAATACATTCACATATACAGCGGAGTTCCTACTAACGAAAGAGCCAGTAAGGAAGTGTCCATACTGATAAACGCACGAAAAGAATATTACGATAAACATCTTCATCGTGAACCATTGGAGTACACGCACCAAATGTAGATGTCAAGACTGTAGAAAAAGAAATGTTTATAACACAACCACAAGCAAACTACCATAATAGGTGATGAGTGATGACAGAGAACTAATACCTAATCCTAGGATACTTAAATGCAAGAACAGGTAGAAGAACAAATAGCGAAACTATAGGCAGGTTTGGAGAAGAAACAACTAATGATAACGGATACCGATTAATAAACTTGTAGGTACAACAAACAAGCTGAGAATGCAAAATGACTTCTGTAAACATAAAGAAATACATAAATACACATAGCATCAATACACAAGACAATTGAAATCGATAATTGATTACAGTAATTCTAAATTAAACACTAACTTAAAAATCTAGGAGTAATATCAGAAATGGCTAAATCAAGATATATCATAATATTCATCAGTTGAAGTCTCCTGTGATGTTTTATGTACACATTCCTAGTAGAGTGGTGAGACTATCCAGCCCTCGGCTTCCTTGGTTGACGACCACTATTAGAGAAATGATTAAACTTCGTGATAACTCGTATAAGAGATTCAAGCATACGAGGCTGGATTCTCATAGGGATTATTATAAAAGCTTGAGAAACTATGTTACAGCCGCTATCAGAAGGGAAAAAAGGGCCTACTTTGACTCGCAGCTCTCCCCTAACACTTCCTCCGAGTATTGGCGTCGCATTAGGGAAAACGTAAATATTACTAAAGGTAAGGGTATTATCCCGGAGTCGTTGGCCAATGCAAATGAGATTGCGAATCATTTCGGCGGCGCTGTTCTTCAAACTGATATCGACTGTAATGTGTATCAATACTACAATAACAACAAGGCTACTACTTTTCAAACTGAATTCTCCTTCTGGGCTATAACGGAGAACGATCTATACTCCACGTTGATTAGTATCTCTTCCAATGCCGTTGGAGTCGATGGCATAGCACTAAAATTTGTTAAGATGTGTTTTCCTTTTATATCTAGATATATTTTACATATCGTAAATTTCTGTTTAACAGAAAATGTATACCCTACTATCTGGAAACAGTCTATTGCAGTTGCAATACCCAAAAAACCAAATCCTTCCAATTATAGCGATTTAAGGCTCATTTGTCTTCTACCCGGTCTTTCCAAGGTTGTTGAAAAAATTGTGGATCGTCAGCTGCGAACACACCTAACTCAATATAATCTTCTGCCTGATTCCCAATCGAGTTTTCGTCCGGGTTTTTCGTGCGCTACTTCTCTTTTAAACGTTACGGATGACATTGTGCGCTCCTCTGATTCTGGCCTTGTTACGGCCCTGGTGACACTTGACTATTCTAAGGCATTTGACACTATCAGTCATCAAATGTTGCTTGCTGTTCTTAGGTTTATGGGTTTTAGCCGTGAAGCCGTTGATTTCTTTCGACATTATTTGGAGGGCAGAAGTATGAGGGTGCGCGTTCGTGATTCTACTTCTCGTGAATTTTACACTCCTACAGGTGTACCGCAGGGTAGTATTTGCGGTCCTATCTTATTTGTCCTATATACTAGTGCCTTCTCGTTATACGTCCGTAAATTACAAACTTATGCGGATGATAGACAACTATATTTGAGCTTTCCGTTGTCAGAGATTGAAAGTGCAAATAGTCGTTTAAATCAAGATATCGAACGGGTGGTGAATATATCGGAAGGGCACGGCCTATTGATTAATGGTACAAAATCGTCAGCTATTATATTCGGTAGAAGTAAAGACCTTGGTCCTGCCAGAGCATCATTGAGCATTCGTGTGGGCGGCGATGAATTGCGCGTAGTTGATGCTGTAAAACTCTTGGGAGTATGGCTGGATTCGGATATGCGTTTTAATACACATATCAATCACTTAATTAGATGTTCGTATGCCACGCTAAAGTCTTTATACGCCAACCGTCACATTTTAAGCACGCAAAGTAGAGCCTTGCTCACTGACACGTTGATACTTTCTCGGTTTAATCACTGCAACGATGTTTATGGACCTCATCTGCGTGCAGATGCTGCGGCACGAGTCCAGGGGGCGTGTCTCCGTTTGATATTTGGTATACGTCGAAATCAAAGGATCTCTTACAAGTTGCCCGAGATACGGTGGCTGAGTATGAAAGCAAGGAGAATTTTTCATGAGGGAGTATTATTTTTCAAAATTACTATGTTCAAAACTCCGGCTTACTTGCACAATAAAATCAGATTCAGAACGGACGTTCATAATATAAAAGTCCGCAGAAAGAACTGCCTGTCTATCCTGCCTCATAGCACCCAACTGTTTAAAAGGTCTTTTTCTTACAGAATTGCAGCATTTAAATTACAATTTATGTTTTGATGTTGCTTGAAAAAACAATTTTGTTTTTGTTCTTTTGTGTTTTGTCACGTTTTGCGTGTTTTCTCGATTTATCTGTTTTCTTGTATTCNTTGTTACGGCCCTGGTAACACTTGACTATTCTAAGGCATTTGACACTATCAGTCATCAAATGTTGCTTGCTGTTCTTAGGTTTATGGGTTTTAGCCGTGAATCCGTTGATTTCTTTCGACATTATTTGGAGGGCAGAAGTATGAGGGTGTGCGCTCGTGAATTTTACACTCCTACAGGTGTGCCGCAGGGTAGTATTTGTGCCTTCACGTTATACGTCCGTTATTGTAAATTACAAACTTATGCGGATGATACACAACTATATTGGAGCTTTCCGTTGTCAGAGATTGAAAGTGCAAATAGTCGTTTAAATCAAGATATCGAACGGGTGGTGAATATATCGGAAGGGCACGGCCTATTGATTAATGGTACGAAATCATCAGCTATTATATTCGGTAGAAGTAAAGACCTTGGTCCTGCCAGAGCATCATTGAGCATTCGTGTGGGCGGCGATGAATTGCGCGTAGTTGATACTGTAAAACTCTTGGGGGTATGGCTGGATTCGGATATGCGTTTTAATACACATATCAATCACTTAATTAGATGTTCGTATGCCACGCTAAAGTCTTTATACGCCAACCGTCACATTTTAAGCACGCAAAGTAGAGCCTTGCTCACTGACACGTTGATACTTTCTCGGTTTAATCACTGCAACGCTGTTTATGGACCTCATCTGCGTGCAGATGCTGCGGCACGAGTCCAACGAGTCCAGGGGGCGTGTCTCCGTTTGATATTCGGTATACGTCGAAATCAAAGGATCTCTTACAAGTTGCCCGAGATACGGTGGCTGAGTATGAAAGCAAGGAGAATTTTTCATGAGGGAGTATTATTTTTCAAAATTATTATGTTCAAAACTCCGGCTTACTTGCACAATAAAATCAGATTTAGAACGGACGTTCATAATATAAACGTCCGCAGAAAGAACTGCCTGTCTA